GGACAAGACAACCCCAAGCATCCCAGAGGGTGTCCACTGTTCTTGGACCTCAACCGTGAAAAGCCAGTGAGTGTTCTTTGTATCACCATGCCAATCATTCCCACAAATTTCCAAAATATCCTTGGGGGTGATTCCGTCCCCATGAGAACCATGGTTCTAACTCAACTCCCTGATTTCACAGGGGAGGGAATCATTCCCTTGGGAAAGGAAACGCTACCTCCAGGATTACACAGGGATTTAGAGATTAAGCACAAACCACAGTCTCCTGACTCCTTGCTCTGAATCAGGGTTCTGTCCACCATAATAGTCAAGTAGACTCAGGTTCAAATCCTGCCTCTGACTTTAGGCAAATTGCTTCATCTTTCTGAACCTCTGTTTTATTATTTCCAAAACTGTGATTAAAAATGGCATTTTTTGTTAAAGATTTGTGAGAATTAAACAAGATTTTGACTATAAATTTCTGGCACATAGTGAGATCTCAACACATAATAGCTATTATTACACCCCTTTAAAGCTCACTTATTTTTTATAATATATTTTTATTGGCTTCAAAGAGGAAGAGAGAGTGAGAGATAGAAACATTAATGATGAGAGAGAATCATTGATAGTCTGCCTCCTGCACACCCCACACTGGGGATTGAGCCTGCAACCGGGCCTGTGCCCTGACCGGGAATAGAACCGTGACCTCCTGGTTCACAGGTCGATGCTCAACCACTGAGCCATGCCAGCTGGGCTAAAGCTCATTTATTTAAGTGCCAACAGAATTTGGTGTATCATATTGCTGGGGAAATTATCCTTGAACCTTCCTCTGCAGAGAAACACTTCTTTATCTTTATCCTTCTAATTCTTCACACAGTCCCTTTCCAGGGGAAAGTATTCTTCTAACCCCTTCCCCACCAAGCTGTCCTAAGCCACATTGAAGAACAAAATGTCTTGGGCTGAGCAGCTCAGAACCCCGTGACACTGAAAAAGAACCTTGAAGCTGATATTTGTTTTGAAAAGGAGGAAGGCAGATGATGGCATTTTTGAACACTTATTTTGTACCAGATGCATTGCAAATGGTCTATTTTTTCATTCTCTTAACACCCTGAGAGGTGGATATTGTTTATTACTACCTCTATTTTATAGATGAGAAATATGGCCTTTTTAAAGGTTGCACAGAGCCAAGATGGAAATCAGATCTTATACTAGTAGACATTCTCTTAATTTGGGTTCTTCAAAAGCAGATCCTGAGGCCAGGATTTGGGGACAAGTATTTTATATGGGAGGAATATTTGTTACCAATGCATTGCCTCTCTGCTCTGTGATAAAGGCATTCCTTAAAGTATTTCTCCTTCAATGTGAGCACAATATTCAGTTTTCTCGGTAGAGGGCGCTAGAGGGACATGGTGCTGATGGTCTACTCTCACATGCACTCTGGAGGGTGGCCTCTTGCATTTGCAAGACCTGCAGACTAGCTTTCAGCAGGCCAGAGCAGCAGACTTCTCTGCTAGTCCCTGGGCAGAACCACATCTCAGAGATCTGGATCCCAACCAACTTTGTCCTTGTGTGGGTACTCATCCTAAGCCATAGGGTGCCTGATAGTTTCCTTGTATCTTACAGTTACTCTTTATCAGAGTTAATGATGCTTTGCATTAGTCTTTTTTTTGTTGTTTAAATTACTGTGTGGTTTCTGTCTCCGGAATGGACTCAGATTGTCACAGGAGGTGATCCTAGGAAGAAGCCAAGAGAGTGGAGAAGGGCAAAAAGCCAAAAGGAAGGGGTTAATGAGTGGGTCACTACTGGGAGCACCTGGTGCTCAGTCGCATTGGTGTCCCTCTGAGAGCCACACACAGCAGGGTTGCCTTGGCAAGAGGCAAGAGGGCTGGATATGGATCTACCATCTATCATCTCTCATTGGTTGAGGGTTGCTCTTGGGGACCTTAACTTTTTGATACTTTTGTCCTGCTATGCATGCCTGAACTGTCCAGGGCATACTTTTGGAACCAGAAAAAGCCCCCAGGCCCAGCCAGCGTGTTTCAGTGGTTGAGCATTGACCTATGAACCAGGAGGTCACGGTTCAATTTCCAGTCAGGTTGTGGGCTTGATCCCCAGTGTGGGGCGTGCAGGAGGCAGCTGATCAATGATTCCCTCTCATTGATGTTTCTCTCTCCCTCTCCCATCCTCCCTGAAATCACTAAAAATATATTTTAAAAAAGAAAAAAAGAACCCCCTCCCCCTCCCCCCCCCCCCAGTTGGAGAGAAGCAGGGCCTTGATGGTGATTTATCTTGATGCGTGCATGAGAACTCCTACTGAAATTGTGGGTGACCTTCAGGCCTGGCCAAGGGCATGTGGGTAGGCCCTGAAGCATTTCCTACAGACCCATTGCAGGTGCTGAATGACAGAAGGGAATCTGTCAGCCAGATGCTGATGAAGGCTGAACTCGAGGGGGGGTTTTCTGGAAAAGTCAGTTGCAGATCAAATGTTTTCCTAGATGGTATAATTTAATCCTACAGTCAGTATTTACTATGGATAATTGGATTTTTCTTTGACCTTGGCAGTCTCTCTGGCTTGCTGTCTGCACTGGAAGACACCATTTTTAAACTCTTTTCAATACAATGAGTCAAACGTGACTTTCATCGGGAGCTGGCAGCCCTGTCATTTTCAGGAGGGGCCGATGGCTGGGGTATCCAACCACAGAAAGGCAGTGGAGTTTGTATTTTCTGTGTTGCCCTTTACAAAAACATTTCAGCTGAAGTAAAAGGCTTTTTCCACCACCCTGGGCGTTTTAATAGAAATCTTGGTAGCATTAAGCCCTTTTAATTCTGAGCACCAGCTTCTAAAGTTCAGTGACGCCAAAGCTCTATTCTGGCATGGAACACAGCAGCGATCAAGACGAGAGATTTTCATCAGCGGGGCACCAGAATGGAAACACAGGCAGGAGACAGACACATTTATTACAAACGGACAGGGACAGTGTTTGTGGGTAATGTGGGCTGAAGAAGGTCATTTCTATATTAAACATTTGAAGTCATTCACATCTTGCAATAATATTTTTAATCTCCACCTGAGGGCATTTTTTCCATTGTTTTTTAGAGAGAGGGGAAGGGAAAGAGGGAGAGGGAGAAAAGGAGAGAGAGAGAAACATCAGTGTGAGAGAGACACATTGGTTGCTCCTCTCCTGGCCGCCCCCCCCCAAAGTGCTCCAATGGGGTTCTGGGATGGAACCTGCAGCCCAAGTATGTGCCCTTGATGGGGAATGGAACTCCAGACCCTTCTGTGCACAGGCCAACGTTCTAACCACTGAGCACACCAGCCAGGGCACATCTTGCAATAGTTTAACCAGTTTATATGGTTTCCCCAACTGGCAATATCTAAAATGCTCCATGAAGAAAGAACAAGAAAGCTTACTTCTCTCCTGAATTGGAAGGACCTCTGGGACATGGTGTTATGTAGACCAGGGTTGAGTAGCTATTGTATGAGAAAGAAGGAAAAAAGATTATATAGTTATATTCGCTGTATTTACTTAAAAATCTAATAACAGTGTCTGGGTAAGAAAGACAGAAACAAGGGGTGATATTTTTTTCAATTTACAATTTTTACATACTTTTGATTTCAAACTCATGTCAACGTATTACCTGCTCAAATAAAGAAATACATTGCTCAGTGAAAAATAATCCTTGAAGAGCAAGCTTCTGTTCTCTGATCATTTTTTACAACCTGTTAAGGTAACTTCAGATGGAAAATGCATTTCACCAAATTAAAGCATATACACACAGTGAATCCTTTGCAAACGTTTAGGGTTTGAGTGTGTTTTTTGACGGTGGATATTTTTTACGTCTATGCTGCTATTTGTCATCCAGGCAGCAGGGGGGAGTGTTTCTCTGTTTTTCTTTGTGTCTTTCCCTTCCTCCCCAACTGCATAGGCAAAACCATCCAAGAATTCTCTTATTCAAATCTATGCACAAAATGCACCACAGTTTCTAGATTTATGTTGTTTTTCTCTCATCCCCCAAATTTTTGGGGGACTTGAAAGGCTTCCAGCAGGCTGCTTAATGATTTTTCAAAAAGGGGCTGATTATTGGGTTTATTGGTGTGAAGTTTTTCTTTCCTCTTCTCTCTGTCCCCTTCTTGTCATTCCACTCACTCCCATGAATCACTTTCCATAATCAAGTCATAGAAAAAAACCTTAAATGAACAAAATTCACAGCTCTCTCTCTCTCTCTCTCTCTCTCTCTCTCTCTCTTCTCTCTCTCTCCAGAGGAGACTCAGGTCTCAGAAGGCAAAACAAACAATCAAACAAATAAAAAGAGGGTGGACTTTGGACCTCTATGAAAGCTAATGGGGGAAGAGAACCAGTGTTGGGTGTTATTCTGTGTGCCTGACTGACGCTGTACCTGCCTTAACTCTTTACATCTTCACAACATGTATGTGTCATTAGAGCTATTCTGTGAAGGAGGAGATGAAAGCTCATAGGGATGAGCAACTTGCCCAACTTTCTGTTGCTGCAAAATGATAGAATGGAATTGCAAGCCTGACTGCATCCAAAGCTGGAACATGTCATTATTTTCCCTACCCCATAGTAAGTAATCGGAAGGCATGCCTTCCCTAGGGCTCTTTTCCCTGTCCCCTGTGGCTGCTGTCTCACACGTGTGTACCACCTGGCCCCACTCCACACAGTGTCCATGAAGACAGGAAAGAGAGAAAGGGATGCCACCTTAAGAACTCCCTAAATGGCCCTGCCGGTGGTTGAGTGTTGACCCTTGAAAGCATATATATATATATATATTTAAAGAACTCCCTAAATGTTCAGTGGAAGCTTTCTTTGTTGCACATGGGCAGGGGTTCCTTTAGAAAAGGCAGCGATATTGAACATGCCCAAGGTCGAAGACTCCTGGAGCTGTGGGCTTGCGTAAGCACCGGGGAAGGCACTGCGCTGTTTACAGAATTCCTTTGGAGCCTTTTGGGTGTGGGCACTTGGGTGTGTGTGTTTCTGAAGTTCCTGTTTTTCTCATCCCAGCTTCCTGGCAGTGCTGCAGGTGAAGGCGATGGTGGAGATGCAGAAATGAACAACTGGGAGCTTTGGATGGACTGGCTGCAATAGTGAGCGAAGAACAGCAGTGAAGACATTTTACCCAAGTGAAGTTTTGGGGAGTGATCTTGGGTGGTGTCCAGCCTCGGTTTCAAATAACATTAACACCCCTTGGGAGAGGGTCATCGCCCTTCAATGCTGAGCAGGGCAAGGAGAAAGCCTCCTTTGGTGTTAGCAGGCCTTTAGCATATTTTAACACTTGCTCTGCTGCAATTTCAACAGCGAGGGGCAAGCAGCAGTCTGGGGTCCTTGGGCCGGCCTGCCTTAGCTCCTGGTTGGAATTTTCTGAAGTGGTTTTATTTTCCTTTAGTTATCATTCTATGTGTGGCAAATGATTATGGTTTTCTGTTTATGGTTGTGAGGAGATGCCCCTTTGAAATGCAATCACTTAAGTAAAAAAGTCCACTTAAAGAAAAATAGTTGAGTAAATAATAGAATAGGTGGTATGTAGCTGTGGCAAAAATGAAGTGGTGCTGAAAATGAATGGATGTTGTAGTGAATTATTTCTAAACATGTCTTCTATCTCAGGAAATATATGACGTTCACTCCAGAATCATGGGAAATTAGAATTGTGAAGTTTCACAACAGAGAGGGATAATCTAGTCCAGCGTCCTCGTTTTCTAGTTGATGAAATGGAGGCTTTGAGGGATGTGACTGGCCCAAGGTCACAGTGTTCTCTTGGCTAATAATCTCTGTGTGTGTACATGTGTGTGTGTGTACTGCTGGGGTGGGGTGGGCTGAGCAGGGCAATAGCTCGGTATAGAGCTGGGTAATTCAGATTGTCTTGGAACCATGAAGAGAAAAAGAGAAAAGGGGGGAGACATTTTTGAGCAAAATGAAAACTCCTAGATAACAAGGAGGGAAAATCCTTAAAAATCTGTTTTCTTGCTGCAGCAGCAGGGACAAGGGCTGGCTGGCCTCCCTCACTCTAGGCAGCAGTGGCTCCTTACAGGGAATGTGGTGTTAAGCACAATAGGTCAGCATTGAACTTGGACAGAGTGTGATGACTGATTAGGAAATGAGTGTAAGTCATGGACGGCAAGTCCTGATTGTGGTGATGCTTATCAGCACCTCGCCCGCCCGGAACAAACACAGCCGCAACGCTGGGCTTGCCCGCCGGCGAAACTGAACCCAGATGTCCTTGTCCCGGGGACAATTTAATTCTTGTTGTGACTGTCATCTGTGAGGAAATCAGGTGTCACAGGACTCAACCGTGCTCCAGATCTGCTGTGAGGGTGGGGTAGGGGGAGAGGCTGTGGTCCCTGACTCCCCCACAGTGTGAGTCTTGCTTTTTTATGAACATACTGAGATTAGGAGGTGGGATGCAGTCCAGAATTAAAGACGGCTCCCTCTGGTGGATGGGGGTCGGGAGCTCAGGGCATGGCCCAGAGTAGGAATTTAACAGACATTTGTGGAATGAATAACCAGAGGGAGACTCAATCCATCAGTGGGCCTTACATGGGTGCTTGGTATAGAACCAGCCCACTGCTCACCCATTTTCCTGTGTGGACAAACCACTCACCTTTCTCAGTGTCACTATTTCCTTATGCCTAATATTTAGCTAAGAAACTACATACTGCTAATATGTTGTTGGGATATAAGAGATGAGTCTAATGAGTGTGGTGGGTGCCTTTTCACTCATTCACTCAAATCATTCATTCATTCAACCAGCTTATGTTTATTAAGCATTTAGTGGGGGAGATAGCTTAGGCCTCTCCTTGTAGAGGTTAAGATAAGTAGACTTTGTCAGTTTTGTAGATAAGTAGATAACCAAGATAATGCTTTCAGATGATCACACATGTTAGAATGCAATAGTGATCAGATAAAAATAGTAATAGTAATGATATTGATAAAAGCTAACATTTATTAAATACTTCCTATGTGCCACACTTGTTGTTGTAAACAGTTACTCATAGGATGCATTGAATCCTCACCACCATCCTGAAAGAGGTGTAATCATTATATTTCATTTTATAAAGGGAAACTGAGGCACAGAGCTAGGTAATTATGGGAAGAGATGTGCTATTTTAGACAGCGTGGTCAAGAAAGATTTCATGGCAGGTGACATTGAAGCAGAGGCCAGAGTGTGCGTTTCTGTGTGTCTCTAAAATCCATGATTCCCTCTCTACTCACTCCAGCCCTGCCCCACCATTGTTTGGTGAAACCTACCATCTCACTCATTGTCACTGCAACTACCTTCTAGCTAGACTGGCCCTCCTTTTAGCCAGAATAGCGTGACAATGATGGGAATGGTGTGACAATGACGGGAAGGGGCAGACAGACTGCTAAAAGAATTGGGCCCACTGACTGCTCCATTGACCTTTCTCATGTGTGACTTATTGGTGTCCTCTGAATTTGAAGTTTACAAGGCTTAGAGCCCTGGATTACATAGTATGGAATAATAGCTTGCCACCATGTACTTACCCCTAGGGAGGCTGGGTGTGTTTTGCCTCTTCCCTTAAACATTACTGTGGGAATAGGGGCAGAAAATAACCCAGTGGTGAGGGCAGTAATCAGAATCATCTCCTCAATACACATAGTGCAATGAGGTTCACAGCCTATTCATCTCCAAGATGCCACTTGGGTCTCCAATGACCTTGGAGAGCAGAGATTGTTACGCATGCTTGGAAGATCAGAGAAGTGAAGGTTGAGATACTTCAGAAGTTTAGTCAAGGTCACACAGCTGGTGGGGAACAAAGCTGGTGCTTGAACTTCTGATAAATAACAAATCTGCTAATTCTTCTGACCACAGGCTATAGGGATGACGTCTTTCTTAACAACCACTGCCACTGAGTGTTGTAAATGCTTACTCCGTGCTGAAATCTGAACCAAGAGCTTTATGTAATTAACCCATTGAATCCCGTTGCATGGTGCCCGGCACAGTGCCTAGCACATGGTGAAAACTCGATTAATGTTCACTTGTATGACTGTTTTTGGAAAGGTTAAGTACCAGTGGGGCTGAGATTTAAATGCAGGCCACATGGTTAAGGGGTTTGTCTCCTGTCTGGGACACGACACTTAGGTGGGGTCCCCTAAGTGCCTCGGTGTGTGTGGGACAGGGCATACTGAACTGCAGAATTTTGCAGCTTGTCTCTGATAATACTTTGAGTTTCTCCAGTTTCTTCTTTGAGTTACTCTTCAAAGCCATGTCAGCCTTGGTTCTCCAGTCCTGCAGAGGTGATTTGGGCTGTGGGCCCCTATGTCGTTCCTCTCTGGAACCTCTTCATTTCTCTTTGCACAGGGGAAGTTGAGAATTGGAGGTCCTGATAGAGGAGGATGTTTTCTCACTGTGCCTGAGGGATGCACATTTCTTGGAAAGGTTGGTAGAATTCTATCCCTATCAATGCAGTTGGATTTGGAATGCAGGTTGTAAGGGTTTCCTGCTTTGTGTTTTGCCAAAGTAGCAAATATAAGTGAGCAGTGTCTTGGCATTCCCTCATCTCTACTTCAGGATGCAGCTTATGTTTTCTATGCTTCATTTTGGAAAGAATGGATCATGGATCTGGGGGGCTGTGCTCAGCAACACAGAGGAGGCAAATGTCTTGGGGGATCCAGAGTCTGTCTTGGTTTCTGGGATGTGGTGGAGAAGGGCAGATGACTCCCAGTGGAAGCTGTCATCCACAAGGTAAAATTTTAGCAAAGCTTTGAAATACATTTGGATTTTGATAGATGGGGGAGGAAGGTAAGCACATCTGATAGGGGTTAATATCCAAAATATATAAGAAATTCAAACAATTCAATAGCACCCTCCCCAAATAACCTGATTAAAAAATAGAGGAAGAAAATTTTTTTAAAAAATGAGGAAGGCTCTGAATAGATATTTCTTCAACGAAAACATATGAATGCCCAAAATGTATAGGAAAAGGTGCTCAATATCACTACTCATCAGAGAAATGCAAATAAAAACAACAATGAGATTCCACCTCACACTTGTTACAATGGCCATTATCCAAAAGAAAATAATAAATGCTGATGAGAATGTGGAGAAACTAGAACCCTGTACATTGCTGGTGGGAATGTAAATTGGTCTTGCCCCAGTGCCAGACAATCCAATTTCTCCTGGTATGTCCCTGGATCACTCCAAGCCACTGCCCCAGTGCTGGAGCTCAGAGGGAGAGAGTTTGAGTAAGTCAGTGTGCTGGCCCTTTAAGAGGATCTGCCTGGGACTCCCACAACCCCATGTCACTCAGACACAATTCCCGGTGGGTTTTACAGCCTTAAGTTATGGGACTTCTCTTCTCAGCACTGGAACGTGCTTCTCATGGGCAGTCTCTGCAGAGATGATCTCCCTCCTGATTAAAAACACGCCACACGTGGGTGTAGGACCAGCCTGTTTCATGCCTCAGCACCTCCTACCAGTTTCAATGTGCTTTATTCTTTACTTATTTATCTGTAGGACTTCCATTCAGCCAGATTTTAGGCGGTTCTGAATAATGGTTGTTCTGTATTTTAGTTGCAATTTTGATGTGGTTGTGGGAGGTGGCAAGTATCAGTGTTTACTTTTGCTGCCATCTACGTTCTCCCCACTTAATCACCTCTTTAGAGGCCCCATCTTCGCCCTAACCAGTTTGGCTCAGTGGATAGAGCGTTGGTCTGTGGACTGAAGGGTCCCAGGTTCGATTCTGGTCAAGGACATGTACCTTGGTTGCTGGTACATCCCCAGTTGGGGGTGTGCAGGAGGCAGCTGATCGATGTTTCTCTCTCATCGATGTTTCTAACTCTCTATCCCTCTCCCTTCCTCTCTGTAAAAAAACCAATAAAATATATCTAAAAAAATAAAGGCCCCATCTTCAAATACAGTCACATTCTGAGGTGCTGGGGATTTGGACTTCAACATATAAATTTTGGAGGGACCCATAATAGATATCAAACTAAACATTTAATATCATTATTTTAATGTTCATAATAATCCTATGACTAGTATTACTAGTAACTTCATTTGTTGAGTATCTGGTTTATGGTCACACAGTGGTAAATGGCAGAGCCAGGATTCATCTATAGTCAGGTATGTCTATCTGGGCACATGGAACATGGCTGTCTTCCTGAT